ATTTTTTTCCCCGCCGAAGTAAACACGGCATGATGCGGAAAGGCCGAAGGGGCGTCACGTGACCGAGGAGGGAACCGACTCGGTAACGCCGGTCGACCGGAGCAGAGCGAAGGCGGCTTCGGCTCGCTTCGGCTTGTTTGGCCTCGGCGCAGGAAGTTTGCGGTGCGGCGGGGCAGGGGTTCGCCAAGCCGGGCCGGGCCGGGGCGGCTAGACAGACGCAATGCCCATTTTTCGACGCTCCAAATGTTGCACGTAAAGTTGAAAAACTAACGAAAATTCTGGATGTTTTCTGCTGTATTTCCGTTGCCGTCGGTGGATGTTTCGCTCCGCCCAGGCGGTCTGATTTGGAGGTCATGACTTTGGGACGGGCCCTGGCGGCCCCGTCACCGGGACGGTACGGGACGGGGGTTGTTTTATAGCCCCACGAATTTGCAGCCGGAGAAAGTGTTACTCGGTTGTTCCAGGACAACCCTGGACCGGCACGCCACGCCACGGCACGCCACGGCACGCCATGACGCCAGCCCGCCGCCTTGCACAATGGGGATAGGCCGTGTCGGCCGGGACGGACCTGCAGTGCCGGCAGTGCCGCGGTTCGAGTACTACTCGCAAAGCATTTACCGACTGGCAGCACTGGCAGGCACTGTGTTCCCGGACAATACGTCTGACGAGGCCCTTTGGCCACGGGAGCCCAAGTCCTTATGCACAGCGGGCATTGCGCTGTGACAAGTACAATCGTCCCAGTTTAAAAAAACACATTTTTCTGATTTTTTCTCTCCCAAATTGTTGGTTTGGTAAGTTATTACCTGTCATCCGCGTGTATATTAATCGCCAAATGGCTCTTTGGTTCGTCATTGACGTCACCGTGTTGGCTAGAGCCCACGTCGTGCGTGCGTGCGCGCGTCTTGGAGTCGACGTCTTGCTTGTGAGCGAACAGCACCCCAGCGAGCACTCACTCACTCTCGAGTCGAGAGCGCGTGTATGCAAGCCGTGCACACACACGGACGGACAAGTACGTTTGGTTTGTCCTTATTGGCGCCGTGTTTTTCTTACCGCACGCGACGGGGCCACGCAAATCCCCTACCCCCTCCCTTTTCCCCCCTCGGGGGGCCGCGGCCGCGACGCGCTCCAGTTCTCAAAACACAATGTCGCGCTGTGCATTGTATCGGCGTAATGGATCTGAGCTGAGCCGGTCGCGTCCGAAACGTCGCTCTGTCTCTCTCGCACCCGCGGGGCCTTCTCCGCAGGTGCGAGAGAGACAGAGCGAGGGCGGCGCGGTTGGGCCCGACACAGCGGGGCAAGGCGCCCTCCCCGCGCCCCCCGCAGGACTCGGCAGGACACTGAGAGATCCGTAATGAAGGATCAGCGGGGAGTGCTAGGCCGGCCGCGGAATCCTTTGGGCACCACTGTGTTTGTGATGCTGATTTTTGTCGCTTTGCTGTCCTTGTTTTTACCGCTGGCGTGTTTCCTGTGTCGTTCCTCAAACAAAGCCCCGCAGTGAGGCGCGAGCGTCGCGGGGGCCCTGGCCAGGCCCCGGCACGACGCTGTTTGGCGACGGTAGCGCCAGCAGCGCCAGGCGACACACAAAGGGTGTCATTATAAGTGCCGTGCCGTTGCATGCCGACTTCCACGTTTGGAAAACCGCAGCGCTATGCACTTGGGATGACGGAGGAGGAGGAGGATCTGGCCGAGTAGTGTCTAAGGCGCTCCATGCTAAACCGGGCGTCGTCCCGAGAAGGCGGAGCACGGAACCTAACCTAACCAGGCGAGCGCTACCGCTGCACAGTGGGCCAGAAGACCGGTGGAGGCGGCCAAAACTCCGGGCTTGTGACCCCACCAATGGATTCCTCGTTCGGAGAGCAATCCATTGGTGCGGTCACACGGTCGGTTCGAGTCCCATTTAGCGACTCTGGAGCTCAAAATGCGTCTAGAGTTTTGGTCGCCTCCACCGATGTAGTGGTGATGTAGAGATACAGTTTTAAGCTGGTCATCTGGCCCACTGTGGGGTGTTGGTGGCAACGCCAACGACTCCAGGGCGAAATGAGGATGATTGAGACGCTTCCCGGATGGGGCGACCCAGAAGACGCTAAGTGATTGGCGCGGTGCCTCGCGGCCCCATCCCCCTCCAATTTATGTCGTGTTTCTCACGAGAGGAATGCTCGCCGGACGGCTGCCGGCGACCGTTTCTCTCGCGGCGAACGAGGAAAAAAAATGACGGACGACGGAAGAGGAAGGAAACGAGCTGCGAAGGATAGCGTCGGTATTTAAATCGGACGGCTACCGTTTTCGTGCCACTGGACTGCGCACAGTGGGCCAGAAGACCGCCGGAGCTGGTTAAAACTCTAGACGCGTTTTGAGCTCCAGAGTCGTGTGACTCCACCAATGGATTGCTCCCCGAACGAGGAATCCATCGGTAGGGTCACACGTTCGGTTTGAGTCCCATTTAGCGACTCTGGAGCCCAAAACGCGTCTTGCATTTTCACCCACTGTGCTGCGGTGCGAAAACGGACAGACTGCGGACGCTCTGAGCGCGCCTTGCCGTCAAAACAGTCTACCTCTTAATTTCTTTTTTTCGTACAAGAAAAGTTTCGTCGTTACTCCCTGGATTTATTACTCCAACTGCGCACGAGCTATTGGCCTGTGATTCCGCCCCAGTGTCGATAAACAAGCCGACCTTTGCCAAATGCCCCACATCGGCCGAGCCCTTCCGAAACGAACGGCGGGAGGGAACGCCCTGGACGCCGGCGCGGCGCTGCCTTCGGGTCCGTTCGGGTCCGCTCGGCTTCGGCTCGGCGGCGCTCGGCGCTTGTGGCGCGCTGCCGCTGGCTGGCTCTGGCTGGCGCGCGGGGCCGCGGTCGTGCGCGCTGAACCGAGCAGTGCCGTCGCCGTCCTCTCCTCTCGCCGTGCCTGGCTGCCTGGCGTGGCGCGGTCGCCAGTCGACGCCGGCGAGCCCTCGGGGAAGGCAGCAGCACCGTGCCCAAGCAGTACCCGGAGTACTCGCGTCCGCGTGTCGCCCCTGTGTCGCGAGTGCCCAGTGTGTGTGGTCAGTGACTGTGTCAGTGTGTGTGAATGCCGCGGTGCGTTGCTCGGGTAGGTTGGGTACCCGCGGGGGTACTCGGGCGTGGTGCTCTTGATGTGCGTGGTGCGCCGTGACGGCCCCGCAGACTGATTCCGAGGGTAGTTTTCGTCGCTCTGTCTCTCCCGCACTCATGGGGCGTCCCCTATAGGTGCGAGAGAGACAGCGCGACGCCTCTCGGAATCAGTCTGTCATGCCTCGCTGGCGCACCGCGCGCACCGCACCACATGTCGAGTGCAGCGGTTTTACGTTGTACCAGCGGATCCCTCGCAGGGAAAGCCGATGAGCTGGTTCGTCGTCAACTTGGCAAGCGGGGAAGAGACTGTTTTGAATGTTTCCGCGCCGAACGGGACGCGCCGCGTGCGGTGCGCGCTGCGACATTTCGGAGGGAAAGTTGACGCACTTCGGCGCGTCGCTCTGTCTCTCTCGCACCCCCGCGGGACGCGTGCGAGTGCGAGAGAGACGGATCCCTCCGAAAAATTGGCGCAGAAGGACGCCCCCCGCGGCGAAGACGTCCTTTGAGGCAGTTAGGCCGCGGCAAGGCAGGCGACGCTCTGACGTCGTGTTTCTCCAGTGTCCTTCGGCCGCTTCTCCAGTCACTCCAGTAGTCCGACCGCAGCGGCGGCTCCCCGCCGTCTGAGACGCTCCAGCCTGGAGCCTCCAGGCCTCCTCCAGGCCGAGCCCCATAAAGCAACCAAGGACACTGCAGAGAAAAGGCTGTTCAAGTTCTCCGGCGAGCGTGGCGGCGCCCTGCGGCTTTGCCTCCAGCGGCTCGCCTGGAGCTCTGGAGCCTCGTCCCGTAAGGGACCGTGACAATTTGGAGCGTCTGGACCCTGCTTTAAAAAAATAATTCCACCCTGAGACATGTTTTCGAATGCCGTGTCTTTGCTCGTGGTCGTTCCCAAAGTAACTTCGCAACTCGTTTTTTTTTAAATATTTTTTCCCGTGTCCCACTCCCGCTCATTAGGACTCCCCTCTGAAAGGACTGGACCGTTCTGGCGCTAATCGTTGGCAGATCGGAAAATGACAAACTTTCCACCGCTTTTGCTAATTGCCGCTCTGCTTTGGCGCCAGGCGTTTGAACGAGTCTCGCCGCCCCGCCCAAAGTACCCGTTAGATTTTTTTTCTTCCCGTCCTCTTCCTCCCCGTTCACGGAAATGGTGTGTTGAAGGGCACGGCTCGGCGCGGGGCGGCGCGGGGCGCTGAACCCTTTCGGTGATGCGGTGGATCGGGCTTTCTCCCGGTTTGATTTACTGCGCGGTGCTTTTAACAGTTGGCACGCGTCACCTCCCTTTCCCGGAAAATTGCCTCGCATTACCATACGCCCTCTGTCGGACAATTTTCTAAGGTTCCACCAATCCACCATTATAAAGTGTTTCAAAAAAATAAATATTTGTACCAAAATTTTTTCAAGAATTTTAAAAACTTTTTAAGAAATGTTAAAAACTTAGAGGAGTTTTTTTTAAAACTTTTTAGGAGAGTTTTTAAAGCTTTCTAGAAGATTTTTTTAAAAACTTTTTGAAAGATTCTTTTTGACTGAGTAGTGGGAATCTGCTGAATAGAGCCAGTCGCCCATAGCTGGCCCATGCCTGGGCTGTCTGCTCCCATCACCGGAGGTCACCCGCCTGTCGGGCCGCGTTGTGTGCACTACGTACCCGCGTGGCGTTTCGACACTGCGACCGGTTTATGACCCACTCTTTGAAATGCAATTTGGGGGGGCCGGCGTTGCGGGGCTTTGTAATTATGGAGCGCGAATTTGCATGGTGGGAACGCGCTGGAGAAAATGAGTAGTAGCTGGAGAAGAATGCTGGAGAAGTGTCTCATGGAACCGCTTGCCACGTTGTCGACGCAGCCAGACGTTTTTCCGACCCGAAAGACACGTTTGGTGCTCTTTTCCGCGACTTTGAACCGAGTGTTTCCCCGCCAGGCTGTGAAGTGGGATGCTGCCACCGTTGTGATTACCCCCTACCCCTCGTCGTCGACAAGTGCACCGTCATGGCCGCTGCAGTGGTGCGCGCCATCCCCGTTCGCACGGGGGTGTCCGGCGTCCCCCGACCCTGTGAGTATATTGGTGTAGCACTCAGGGCCCGAATCGAACGTGTGACCCCACCAATGGATTGCTCTCTGAACGAGGAATCCATTGATGGAGTCACACGCTCGGTTCGAGTCCTGTCTAGCGACTCTGGAGCTCAAAACGCGTCTAGAATTTTTGCCGCCTCCACCGGTCTTCTGGCCCACTGTGCATCATGGAGGAGGTGCATGTGCCCCGGCGCTCGCGGCTGCACCGGTCAAACTTTCGTTTTCAAGCGCCGAGTGAAGGGGGAGTGTGTTGGCCTGTCAGTCAGGAAGTCTAATTTTCACTTGCCGCGAAGTTGGCGGCGCCGGCCGGGGCGTTGCAGTGTGGTGCCGTGCCGCGGCCGCCAGTGCTGTGGGACCCATTGTGCTGTTGTGACCTACCTCCCTCCCTCGTGCTTCTTCCTCTCCTCCTCCTTCTCCTCCTTCTTCATTATCTCTGCCTTTCTGCTGCCCTTGAGCTCCCCGTCACGGAGCGCCACTCTGATGCCTTTACCTCATCCACCCGCGTTGACAAAAAGTGAAAACAAATGCCTTTTTTCTCCACGTCTCTCTCCCTCTCTTTCGTGCCTCCGATTCCTTCCTTCTCTCTTCCCCTCTATCTCCGCGGTCCGCGGCCGGGGAGGGCAAAGACCTGCAGTGATGGCGGCGATGTCTTTTGAGAGCGGCTGTACCTGCCCACAAATGACGACTGCGCACCAACCGGCCTACCGGTGTATTACTCTTTCAATTTTTTTTCTCGGTGTGCATCTTGAAGACGCACCGCTGCAACTTGATCCGATCCCGCTCGAGCGTTGCGTCACGTGGCCTCTTGACTTATGCAGGCAGCAGGGCGGCCAACCCGCTAATTTACACTCAGCCCGGCCATGTGGCTGCTGCACTGGCCGCCGTGCCTCGCGCCTTGCCTACGTCTGCCGCTGCCCTAGTGCGTCCAAGTCTCCGCGGGGAAAATTCCCTCGGGCCGCCGCGCCGCTGCTGGGATCGGAGCGTGAAATCGTGCATGTGGACACTGTTGGAACAGCTCAAGTTTGGTTGACAATTTATAATTTTTTTTTCCGACCAAGTGCAAAAAATTTCCCTGGTGGTAGACAGATTTTTTGGCGGGAAATTTCCTGGTATTGGACGTTTTTTTTTGCAAGAAATTTTCCCGCTGAAAGATTTTTAGCGGGAAATTTCCCCGTTGAGAGATATTTTTGGCGGGAAATTTCCCTAGCTGCGGTACTTTGTGGGGGAAATGACGGGATTAGGGTGACGCAAGGGTGGGCGGCCTTCCGGATAGGGTGGAGGTCGCGCAGTGCCCCGGGGCGGACCGTGTTCCCCCGGCCGCGCGTTTTGAGTGTAGTGGCTTTGCTGCTGGGCGCCCGGCGGCACCCCCGTGACGAAATGACAACACGCGTGCTCGAAAACAAGAAAATGGCGCAAGACAAGCCCTGCACGCCGCTGGGACGTCCGGGCCTTGGTGCGGGCCGGGCCCTCGCCCTCAGCTCAGGGACGCCGCCTTCCGTTAGTTGGTCAACCGGCCCGCGGTCTGCGTACTGCGTGGTGGAGGCCGCGCGGTTACCAACCTTGACTTAAAGAAAAAGTAAAGAAATTACCTTGTTTTCTGCGGTGTAGGACGCTCCGCCACAAACAAGGACACTGGCGTACTGCCCCGCCGCGTGATAACAGTGTGATGAAACCAGTTTGGGGCCGAACCTGTACGGCCGGCGTCGGGACGTGCTTCGGGTGCACCGCCTTGCCACACCGCCCCAGGCTCGCAGTTTTGGAGCTTCCGCGGCTGGACACTGTTTGACGGGCGCCGCCGTGGCGTCTGTATAGCCCAGTGGGTCGTCCACGACTGCCTGAAGCTCTAGCTTTCCTCCAAAATTGAAAGAAACTTGAAAATAAATGATTGAAATTATTGTTTGAGAAACTGTGACTTGATTAGAATTGCACGGATGAACTGGCAGACAGCTGTGCCAGGCCCCGCCTTGTGCCTGCTGCGTCTGATTGAAGTTGAAACGCTGGTCTGCTTTTTGGACCGCTGGCGCGATGGCCGCCATGGCGAGCGCCTCTGGCGTTGCCGTTCTCGGCCCCGGCGGACAGGACACCTCGAGAGTCCCTGGCCGGCCGGCTGCTGGCAGAATCGCTCCTCGCTCCGAAATAAAACCGAGACAGCTGTGCTTGGTGTGTGGGTGCGAGAGAGACGGAGCGAGGCCCTTGAAAACAGACTGCATCTCGAATGCAAAACGGGCGAGGCTGGCTGGCTGCAGCTGGCGAGGCGCACTCGACGCGATTGGTGGTTTTAGCGATCGTGCCTTTCTCCGAGACCACCTAGCCTACAGCCTGCGCGTTGCGGTGTGTGGTTGGCTGACTTTGGTTGACTTGCAGTGGCGCGCCATGGCGTTTTGAAAAAGCCCAGGCTTTCGCGTCCTCTGTTGCACCGCCACTCATTGCCATCATCATCGTCAGCCTAATGGTGCTCCACCACGGTCTTCCTTCGGGTGTTTTATGGCCGTGATGACGGAGATGGATTTAGTGGTGGGAATAACGTGCCATTATTCGCAGTCGGATGCCACTGACTGCAGGCAGGGCAGGGTAGAAAGCGCCTAGGCTTTTTCGAGGCCCCCCAGGGCAGCGGCAGCGGCTCGAGTATTTGGGCACACACACTCGGACACACACGCACGGACGGAAGGCAAACCAACACAGACAACGCCACCTTTCACTTTCCGTGTGTTTATGGCGGGCTGCATCCGTGCCCGCGCATATCAATGCGTCTGGCGCGCGATTTGAGTTCGCTGTCCGGAATAGATTGTCGCCGGCGCCGCGGGGGCTTCAGAGTGCGAGAGGGAGAGAGAGAAAGAAGGAGGTGTCGGGTGTCAAATTGGACTCATCGAACGTATGAGGGTACCAATATGGATAGCTCTTGGATCGAGGAATCCAAAGGCACCCTAACGTGTCTGATTCCGGATCGTTTCGAGGCCCACAGCGCTCGTGACGTTCTGGAGTCCCGTGCGTCTGCAGCCTGGCCTTTACTTGGCCGCGCCGCGAGGGCCACCCGTTGTACAGCACGTCGGACAGACAGGCGCAGAGTTTCTCCTGCCTGGCGGTTCAAACCCGCGCCGTCCTAATCCGTGTGCGTCAAAACTCGCAAATGCCATTATAAAGTGTAATTTCAATATATTACGCATTCATAAAGCCTGGCCTTTTCTGCCGGGACTACGCTTGCCCGCTGTGACCGGCCGGCCCGGCCGCGGAGGCGGCGGTGAGAAGCTTCGTTTCTCCTCCGCCGGCTTGGAGGAGGAAACAATTGGGGAATTACCTCGACACGCGAATTGGCCGCGTGAACGTCCACCTTTTTTGGGGTCCTTGCTGGCGGACTCAGGGGAGCCTCTAAGTGGTGGGACGCTCCACAGTGGATTCGCCAGAGGACCGGTGGAGGCGGTCAAAACTCGAGACGCGTTTTGAGCTCCAGAGTCTCTAAATGGGACTCGAACCGAACGCGTGACCCCACCAATGGACTCCTCGTTCGGAGAGCAGTCCATTGGTGGGGTCACACGTCCGGTTCGAGTGCCATTTAGCGACTCTGGAGCTCAAAACGAGCGTCGGTGCTTTGCCTGCCAAGCGCCTGCCAAGTGTCGGGTGGGCAGTACCGCAACACTCGGCTGTCTTACGGGCTTGCCTACCCGCCACTCGGCAGGCGCCGAGGTGGGCCACACGTCTCTTCTTCTCTTTTTTTTCTTTTAAATTTTTGTTTGTGCACGGTCGTTGTGTGTCGCATTTGCCCGTGCGGCGCCGCCGCTGCGGCCGCTCTGCTCTCGTCTAGCGGTCGCTCGCACCGCGCCGCGCCGCGCCGTGCGGCCCCGAATGGAAGGGAAGCTGTTACTGCCGCTGGATTCGCGGTACTCCCGTCCCCCCTCCCCACTCCCCTCGGTTTCTCGCGACGGCGATACAGTTTGGCGCTGCTGCCGCCGCCGCGGCGTGCCGTGCTCAAATGGCCTGCAATTCGTCGTTATGCTTTCTTTGCCGAGGATCGCGCAGCCCACCTGTCGTGGGTCCGAATCCCGCTCGCGGATGGAATGGTTAATTCTACATCTGTCTGTTTTCGAAAAGCAAATCAATCTTGTATATTTAAAAAAAAAAGTTGTTGTTTTTTAAAATGCTGGGTGATGCGCCAACCAGATTTTTGGAAACGGCGTCGTTAGGTTGGGGCGAAGCTCGTCTCGTTTGCGGTGTACTTGGTACTCAGCATGCGCTGTTAGGGAGTGGCGAGAGCGCCTATAGCGGTGGCTCTCTCCCTTCGTGTTTGTGTATTTTCGTGTGTGTGTGTGTTTGTGTTTGCGCGCGCTTCGATTTGTGCCCACCTACCAGGGGGCTTCGATTTCTGTGCGTGTCCAATCGCGCTTTACGGCGCCACCAACCGTGGAGGCGCAGGGCGTGGGCCGCGCGCCAGGACGAGCATAAGGTCCTCAAAGGGCCTGGCATCGGCCGAGATCGTCCTGGGTCGCAGGGCGTGTAGGCGAGGCACAGTGGGGCAGAGACCGGTGGAGGCGGCCAAAATCCCGGAAGCGTTTTGAGCTCCAGAGCCGCCAAATGGGACTCGAACCGAACGTGTGACCCTACCAACGGAGTCCTCGTTCGGAGAGCAATCCATTGGTGGGGTCACACGTTCGTTTCGAGTCTTATTTAGCCACTCTGGAGCTCGAAACGCGTCCGGGATTTTTGCCGCCTCCACCGGTCCTCTGGCCCACTGTGCGAGGTAGGCGTAGGGCTCGCGACAGCTGGCTGGCGGTCCTGGCCCTTTTGGAACGCGCACTTGACGCTATGCCGTGCCACTCGCGCCGCGCGTGCGAGAGAGACGGGGCGTGACGTGCGGGTCCCCGCCAATCTCCGAGACGGCCCACTCGCGCCGTCTCTCTCTCTCTAGCGAGGAATGAATGAATGGCCCGCCCCGCCCTTGTTAATAGAGACATCGCGTCTAAGGTCGGTCCGCTGCAAGCTCGGCCAAGCTCGGGTCCCGCTAGGCAAGCCGCGCTTGAGCGCGGTTACGAGCGGGCCGCATGTTGGAAGTTAGCAAGTCTCGACTCTACCTAAAAAAAAGTCTTTCCCAAAAAAAAATGCTTTGCAAAAAAAAAACGTTCAAAAGACTTCTTTTGACAAAAAACTTTACGAAACAAAAACTTTTCAAAAATCTTAAAATAAAACATTACAAAAATGACCCTTAACAACATAGGTTTTTTTAAAATGCTTGTGCTGTGTGCGACTCTTTGTAGACGCTGTTGCCATAATGTTGTCTCCGTGTGTTTTCAGACAAGGCGTGGAGCGGCGGCGGCCGCGTGGTGGACAAGCCCGTCGCCAAGAGCCAGACGCCGTCGCCGAGGAAGACGACGCCGCAGCGCCGGGCCACGCCCTTGAAAGGTAAAGACTGACTGCTTGTCGGGGGACCGTCCTTTAATGACGTGACGGTGGGAAAATGAGAAATGGCGCAATGTTTGAATGTGCGGCCGAAAACCTGGCTGGCGCGGTCCGGAGAGGCTTTTCGGCGGCGCGCCGTTGGCACTCCTGGAACGCCGACGACGCGGCCGCCCTACACAATAGCAGGAAGGAAGCCCTGGAGGCCCTGGAGGCCCTGGAGGGGGCGGCGGGGGAGTGTTTCTGGAAACGGCCGCGGCAGTGGGAGAGAGGGCGCTGCGGGCGCACTCTTCTAATTGTGGCTGCAGTGGGGCACACTGTGGTGCACGTTTTCACAACCGTGGCAGTGGGCCGGCGGTACTGTTGTTGGCGTGGCCATGCGGTGCGTCGCTCTGTCTCTCTCGCGGTGGAACCCCCCGCGAGGGAGTGCGAGGGAGACGGCGATGGGGGTGCCGTGGGCTTTACTCTTCCCCCCATTAGTGGGTTATCGGTGTTGCGCAAGCGGCCCGGCCCGGCTGGGCCCGGCGAGCGGCGCGGACCCTCGAAACGCCGAGTGAATGTGAAACTGTGGGATGAAGCGACTGCTAATTGGGTCGTTTCTTCCTGCGAGTCTGTCTGCTGGAGAAGCGAGAGGCTCCGGTTCCTCTCCCGTGCTTTCGACCGCCCCGAAAAGTTACTTTGAGTACTCTGGAATAGACCGTCAAAACGTGAGCCCCTAAAACTACCCCACAAAAAGTTAAATTACCCCTGAAAAGTATTTACCCCCTAAAATGTACTTACCCCTTAAAAATCACCCCCTAAAACTCACCGCCTAAAATCACCCCCTAATATGGTCATGGCTGTAAAAGCTGACCTTAAAAATTGCATACCTTCCGAAAAAATGACTCTTGGTCGGACCCCGAAACTTGGCGCGATTTTGAAGAGCGCTGGGCGTCTTCTGCTGTCCAGCTGTTGGCGTCCGTCCGTCCGTCTCCCTCCCTCCCGATAAGATAGACGCACGGCTATCTCTGTCGTCGGCCGACATTGACCAGTCGCGATAAATCCACCACGACGCCTTGCTCGTGGAAGTTCGCGCTTCGCGTTGCTTCGCGATGCTCGGCCCACGCGCCATAACACCCTCTGATTGAATCCATTAAGCAGGCGGGCCGGACAGGACACGCGGCTTTGTGTATATTTGGGGGCCCACCTGGCCGGCCAGTCTGTCAGGAGTGCACTGTCGAAAATAAAAATCAATGACACACTCACGTTGTCGGCGTCCGTTTGGCCATGGCTTTTTCACCTATTTTTTTGTGTTCTGTGTGGGATTGGCTCAGACAAGCGACTCTTTTAACATTAAAAAATAAAGGAGAAATAATTTTGTGGTGTACCGGCCGGTCGAGTAAGTTGCGAGGGAGTAGAACCGGAGAGGTAATTGCGCTGCCCGAGTGAGTGGCGCCGACGTGGAAGTGAAGTGAAGTACGCTGCCAGTTCCGGTCGGCCTGCCCGTTGCCTGTTCTCTCGTTGCCTATTTTGTCTTTGACCGTTGCACAGTGGGCCAGAAGGCCGGTGGAGGCGGCCGAAACTGTAGACGCGTTTTGAGCGCCAGAGTCGCTAAGCAGGACTCGAACCGAACGTGTGACCCCACCAATGGATTGCTCGTTCGGAGAGCAATCCATTGGTGGGGTCACACGTTCGGTACGAGTCCCATTTAGCGACTCTGGACCCCAAAACGCGTCTAGATCGCGCCGGTCTTTCAGTGCGGGGCGCGAACCCGGACCGTCGGTAATTGGTTCCTGGCCTTGGCTCCGCCTTGCGACAGTTTGGAGCGCCGTGTCTAATTGGCGGTGTTAGCGCATCGCCTTCTAATGCGCGCGCACCGAATCTGTGGCGGGAACGAACGAGACAAATGGCGAGCAAGGCTGCGACCCGCAGAGGCTGCGACCGCCGACTGGTGGCTGGTGCTGCGATGCTGCCCCCACGAGTCGGCAGCACACCGGGCGCCTCTGCCGGTTGGGTTGCCTGCCCTCGCGGCGGAGCTGGCTCGCTGGAGAAGGAGGGGGCACGTCGAGCATCGGGTAGAGGCTGGCACCGCCCGGCGGGAGCGAGCGAATACTTCCTTTCACCTTGCCGTGCCGTCTTCTCTATAACTGGCTGATGAATTTTCATAGTGATTATTATTTCAACTAAAGCAGTCTTCAAAAAAACATGATTTAAAAAAAAGACAGAGAGATGTGAATGGTGATTGTGATTAGATTGAAACCTGGACGTGGTGGTGTAGCTGGGTGCAGCGACAATCGGGAGGTGATTGAAAAGGAGCCGGTGATGAAAATGATGATGAAAGCACGCGGTGAGTGCAGTGGGTGTGATGCTGAATGGGAGGCTGACTCCGCCGCAGTCACGATTTTCCCCGCTGCAGCTACCTCACGTTGTGTAACGGCATGTCTGTGGCCAAGGTTCGATCCGCCGCCGGGCTGGTTGCTTACTTTTATTTTCGGCTCTCGGAAAGGAGAATGCTCCCTCCGGCTTGCTCGTCTCGGTCATCCTTTTGGTGGCGGCTACCCGCGGGCTCTTGTCATTGATTCGGGTGCCCTCGTCGCACAGTGGCCCAGAAGACCGGTGGAGGCGGCCAAAACTCCAGACGCGTTTTGAGCTCCAGAGTCGCTAAACAGGACTCGAACCGAACTTGTGACCCCACCAATGGATTCCTCTTTCGGAGAACTATCCATTGGTGGGGTCACACGTCCGGTTCGTTCCCCATAGTGCGACTCTGGAGCTCAAAACGCGTCCAGAGCTTCGGCCCACTCTGCGTCACCGGAAAGGTGCTGGCTCATAATCCCCCTGACGTCCTCCCCCACCGGTGTCGGATGGTCCGGACGGCCAGGATGCTGCTGCCTCGCTTGCTCCCCTCGGCCCGCGCTCTATCCCCCTTCGGCATCGCATTCCCCTTGCAAAAGCCCCTTGAATGGCGCACCGCTTGTTTTGGCCTTCGCTGGCAGTGTAGGTGGGTGCGGTGCATTCCGCCACACTGTCGCGCAAACTTGACATTTTATTCCATTTTGTTGGCGAGACGCGCGCGGCTTTGTCCGTTCGGGCCCTTTGCGGCCGGGAATCCGGAGCGAGCCCTGCAGCCTGGGCCTTTGGGCAAGCCTTCGGGCCTCCTGGCCATTTTCACGACCCGTTCTCTCTCTTATCTCGCTTTTTATATAAACGGCTGCGCTGCTTCGCTCGCACGAGAGCGCCTCGGCTCGGCTCGGCTGGCCCACTCGCAGAGGGCCCGTGCGTTTGAATCACTGCGGTGGGCCCGGCCTGCCCGCCGCCCCGCCGGGCTTTGGCGCTGTGTGCGTGTGTGTGTGTGTGTAACGGTGCGCACTGCAAGGGAGTGCTCGCTGGCGTGCGAGGCGCTGGCTAGCTGATCTTGATTGGACTCGGCATTTGGATCCCTTTTCCCCTCACCGGCAGCAGCACCAAGTCTAGAAAATCGCCAAAATGAACGATTTTCTGTCTCATTTCCGCCGCCGACGCGCGGCGGCGACGCTTCTCTCTGTCCGTCTCGCTCGCACTCGCACGCCCGCGCGTCTCGAGTTTCGCAATACGTTTTCTCATCGGTCATGTCGGGAGTTCTCTTCTCATGCATGAAAGCCCTCACACGTACATTCACAGGCGCGTCGCGTGCGTCGGTGTGTGTGTGTGTGCATCCACGCGAGAGCGCCGCCGCCACCGCGGCGAGGTGCGAGTTTTGGTTTGGAGAAAGGCTCCTCTCCGCCGCCACTCCCAGCCGCCGCGGGTGCGGCTGGGGCGGTCTGCCTGCGTGCTGGGTCCTTGGGTCCTTCCGTCCACCCGGGCTGACCTGGCGGCCGGGTGTGGCCGGCGCCGCGCAGTGGGCCGGAAGACCGGTGGAGGCGGCCAAAACTCTAGACGCGTTTTGAGCTCCAGAGTCGCTAACTGGGGCTCGAACCGAACAACGTGTGACCCCACCAATGGATTGCTCTCCGAACGAGGAATCCGTTGGTGGGGTCACACGTTCAGTTCGAGTCGAGTCCCAGCGACTCTAGAGCTCAAAACGCGTCTAGAATTTTGACCGCCTGCGCCGGTCTTCTGGCCCACTGTGCGGCGGCCGTGTGGCGGCCCACCTGTGCACGTGAGTGCACTGGCGGCCAAGGCGTCGCGTCGGTGGTGGCGTATACGCACGCGGACTGACCTGTGGCGGCGCCTCTCGTGAGATGAGCCTCCCCCCCCTCCCCCTTTCAGGACCGCAGTGTCCTTTGTGTGACGGGTGGGCGTGGCGGCAAAGGAATAACAGACACCCACAGGCACGCGTCGCTGTGTGTGTGTGTGTGGCGCAGGACGCACACCCACCCCCGCCTTGTTTTGAATAAGGGACTTAATTGCCAGTTATTCCTCACAAGGGTCTCTCCCGCTCTCGCTCTCGTGTGGTAACGACCTGTCGATAATGCGTTTGCTTACACCGACCGCGCTTTGTCAAGGGGCTGCTGCGGTGGCGGCGGTCGCGCAAAGCGAGAAAAACGTTAACCACCTCCGAACGAGCTGAGCGCGGCTAAGTACCGCGCTCTGTCTCCGTCACACGGAATGACCGCGAGTGGACGTCCTGGCCGCCATGTTTCGCATTTTTTTCCACGTTGAGCATTAGTTGTTGGCTGCATTAGTCATGTTGCCGGTAAAACTTTTGTTGTTTGCAATACTGAGCATTTTGTTGTTGGCGAGCGTCCTCCGCGCTCGCGGACGCCCCCTCCTCGTTATCGTTCCAAATTCCAGCGCGGGTAATTGAATAAGAAGGGCCGAGGCTGGGCCGAGGCTGGGTCGGCAGGTGCTTCGGCTCGCGGTCGGCGGCGGCCCGAAGGTGGCCGAAGCGCTGGCCGAGGGCCGAAGGCTGGGCCTGGACGGCACCGGGCCGTGGCGAGCCGCGCCGGGTACCCGGCGTCGGCGGTACCGCCGGTGCCGGCGGCCGCGTCGTGGTAGAAAGTTGTGGCCAACAACAACAAGACTGCAAAGCCGTAGCGGGGCCTGGC